CCCCAAAACCCCAAAACCCCAAAACCCCAAAACCCCAAAACCCCAAAGGAAAAATCTTTTCAAGATTATTAGATACAGTTTTATTATTATAAAAGGATCGCTCAATTTGATTTTAATAATCTATTATCTTTAACAAAAGTATTATTACAATCTACACATGCTATTGAAGCAATTCATTGCAGAAACCTTCTAAAACTTACCTTAATACAAATTCTACTAGACTTAAGAGCCAAAGGAAATGCTTCTTATTGATAAGAAGTATGAAGTCCTCAAGTCAAGTAAGTATCCTTTCCTTAGCATTACAAATTTATAGCACTCAAATATTTATTTTATTCTTAATAGTTGGAAGTGGAGCAACCTCAGTTGTTGTCAAAGCTTCAAAGAATGGCAATTAAGAGGAAATAGTTGCAGTAAAGAAAATCAATAAAGTATTTGATCATCAAGCATTTGCCCATCGTGCCATGAGAGAGCTGCGTATTCTTCGTCTTCTGAATGACCATGAGAACGTAAGTATCTTGTTTTAATTATTTGGGCACTCTTTTAACATATTTCGATCTTTAAAAGATAATTAAACCAAATTGCGTATAGATTCTCAAGATTCACGAGATTATGATACCCAGCGATATAAAAGGCTTTAATGAGCTATATATTGTGAGTGATTATATGGATTCCGATCTTCATGACATTATCAGGATCAACGAAAACATCACCCGAGAGCACAAACAATTCTTTATGTATTAGCTCTTGAGAGGCCTTAAGTATATTCATTCTGCTGGAATTATTCACAGAGATATCAAGCCTTAGAATCTTCTGATTAACAAAAGCTGCGAACTCAAGATTTGCGATTTCGGACTCTCAACAGTGAAATCCTAGTCAATCAATAAGAACTATGAGTTGACTGGCTATGTTGTGACAAGATGGTTCAGAGCGCCAGAGCTGTTACTCAAGTATCAATCCAAGACTTATTCTTCTTAAATCGATATGTGGTCTGTTGGCTGTGTAATGGCGGAACTATATCTAAGAAAAGTCATTTTCGGTGAGAAAGATTTGACAAGGTAAATCTAGAGAATTATCAGCCTGCTTGGAGTTCCCCCACAACATATAATGGACAAGATATAAGATCAGAGAATAAGAGATTTCATTATTGAAGCTGGAAAGAAGACGAAGAAAGTAACATTTAAGGAGGTTTTACCTGGAATTGAGCCAGATGCCCTAGATTTACTCTAAAAGTTATTAGAATACGATCCTGCCAAGAGGATAACAGCTTAAGATGCCCTGAAGCATCCATTTTTTGCTGAGCTTCATGTACCTAATGATGAGCCTACAGCTGAGTCTGTTAACTACTTTGACTTTGAGTTTGAAAATTATACTCTGTAGAAGGGTACACTTCGAAAACTCATTATTGATGAAATTATTCTTTATCATAGTGAGAAGGCATTAAAGTTCTATTAACAGTGCAAGAAAAAATACCCTAGTGGCATACTTGAGAAGTTTTACACAGCAAATGAAGATCAATTGAGTGAAAATGACTCAATGTCTGACACAGATACATAATCTTCATCAACTACACATTCTCCAGAAAAAGATGTAACTATGAGTTGAGTTACTTTTCAACACAATGTAATATACACAACCTATTTAAGCTGTTTATGAGGAAATAATATAAAATTAGTATTCAATTTAAATTAATCCACTCAAATTGTCACTTTAATACTTATTTGAATTTCTCATCATGGGGTTTTGGGGTTTTGGGGTTTTGGGG